CCTTGTATCGACTTGTGTGGTTGCAGGTATGGCCGTACTGAAGTGTGCTGCTCACACATCATCTAGACCTAGGCAGAGCTTCAGCTCACCAGGTTGGCACAGAGCTGGCTTGCCAACACTATTTGAACTAGATTACATTTTTTTTTCTGATTGGCAAAGTCAGAAAGTTTGGTAACTTGCTGTGTTAGCAAGGCATACGTGCTGCTGGTGAGCGCACGGAGCAGAGCAACCTCATTTGGGGGCAAGTGATGGTATCTATCGAAGTTAAACACCCACAGGCCACGGGACCCAGCAAATTCCACATGAGCAGAAGTTAGCACCTAGGGAGCATTTGCACACACTAGGTGCTGTTTCCAACACCAGACAGACAGGAATTCATTTAGATCTCAAAAGACACTCTGGAGTAGAGGCTATCATCATCCTTGGTTTATAAATGAGAAAGGTGAAGCAAACAGATATTAAATTGTTTGTCCAAGATTATCCAGCCAGTAAGAACTTAGGTGTCTGGTTCAGGGCTGAGCTTGCTTAACTGCTATACTACATTATATCCCTGTATGATGCTAACCATTGAAGTATTACCTATAATAGAGAAATACAAAAACAATCTAAATGTCCATCATAAGAGAGTGGTTCAATATAATATGGTTTTTCTGTATAAGGGGAGAACTAGATGGTTGTTTATTTTTAATGAAGCTGACAGGGAAGTATACTGATATATTACAATCTCTAAGCTATGAAATTTAAGTTAAGAAAAGCAGAATTGGCTAGGCACGGTGGCTCATATCTATAATCCCAGCACTTTGGAAAGTGGAGGTGGGTGGATGGCTTGAGCCCAGGAGTTTGAGGCCAGCCTGGACAGCATGATGAAGCCCTGTCTCTACAAAAAATACAAAAATTAGCTGGGCATGTTGGTGGGCATCTGTAGTCCCAGCTACTCAATGAGGCAGGGAGGATTGCCTGAGCCCAAGACGCAGAGGATTGCAGTGAGCTGAGGATTGCAATGAGACACAAAAGTTAGCCAGGCATGGTGGTGGGTGCCTGTAGTCCCAGCCACTCAGGAGGCTGAGGCAGATTGCATGAGCCCAGGACATTGAGGATTTCAGTGAGCCAGGACTACACTCCACCCTAGATGACAGAACAAGACCCAGTCTCAGGAAAATAAAACAAAACCAGAATTCATGAGAGTATTCTATCATTTATAGAAAAAAAATCCATAATTGTGCCTATATATACACTATACAAGGATATATAAGAAGAGAGAAAATAAACAAGTGGTTTTCTCTGGGATAGGGAACTCAACAGGAAAAAGAAGATGTTTTCCAATGTATACCTTTATATACCATTTGAGTTCTGTACCATATATGTGGATTGCTTATTTGAAAAGAGGTCTTAATTTGAAAGAACCAACAATACCTGCCTAATAGAAAACAGCACCAGATGTTGAAGCTATTATTAAGGGTCCATGTTGTTTTCCAGCTATTTGTTTATGCACACTTCTCCCTCCAGCATCCAGCTCAGAGGCTGGCACATCCCAGGTATTGCACACAGGACTGCAGAATGAATGAATAACGTGCATATTGAGTTGAATCAAATGAAACATATTTGTCGAGGTTCCTGCTGCAGCTCTATAGAGGTGGCATCTGCACTTCCTTCTAGAAACTGAGCTCATTCACTATTCATGACAGCAAAAACATGAAATCAACCCAAATGCTCATCAATAATAGACTGAATAAAGAAAATGTGGTACATATACACCAGGGAATACTATGCAGCCATAAAAAGGAAGGAGATCATGTCATTTGCAGCGACATTGATGAAGCTGGAAGCCATTATCCTCAGCAAACTAACGCAGGAACAGAAAACCAAACACTGTATGTTCTCACTTATAAGTGGGAGCTAAACAATGAGAACACATGGATACAGGGAGGGGAAAAACATTTACTGGGGCCTGTTGGGAGAGGGCAGTGGGTTGGGGAGAGCATTAGGGATAAGAGCCAATACAAGCTGGGCTTAATATCTAGGTGATGGGTTGACAGGTGCAGCAAACCACCATGGCACATGTTTACCGATGTAACAAACCTGCATAACCTGCACAGGTACCCTGGAACTTAAAAGAAAAGAAAGTGAGCTCATTGAAAGACATTCTAGATTAAGAAGGCTGAGGAGTTTCCTGGTAGACAAACCCATGGTTCCCAACAGGCACTTACACTGGACTTCTCCAGGACTTACTTTTTTAGCTACAGAAGTGGTTCTCAACTGGGGATAATTTTGCCCCAGAAGACATTTTTGGTTGGAGGGGTACTACTGGCATGTAGCAGGTAAAGCCCAGGGATGCTGCTATACATCCTGCCACACACAGCACAGCTCCCCACAACCCGCCATAACAAAGAATTATGTAGCCCCAAAGTCACGTGCTGAAGCTGAGCTGTGGTGATAGCACTGGCTCACCGACATCATGACCATGACTGGTAGACTTGGGTCATCAGCCCTGGGACACACCTATAGCTTCTACGTGTTTATGTTCCCTCCTAAAATACAGCCTGCTGTACAATCCTCCTGAACTGCATTTTTTATTCAGTCTCCAGCTTACCAACCTTATTTCAGATTTAATCTCATCAAGAAGGATACCAGCCAACTGCGGTCCATCTCCCTGCCACGGTCACTTTGAGGAGCTGAAAAATACTTGAATATCTTAGGACGACCTTTCTGGGAAACCCACAGGGTGCTGGTGAAAGAAAGGTTCAGCTGTCCCTGGGGCCAAAAGTTCTCTGGAATGCTAGCTCATGAGACAGGTTCTTGAGAAACTAAGGGAGAATAAAAATATCCGCACATTCCTCAGGCAGAAATCTTCCAAAAGGAGGGGGGCAGCCTCAGATCAGGAAGGGGCAAGTCCTGTGGGTGAGGGTGCCTCTGCTCCCTTGGGCTTCTCCTCCCAGCCTACACAGGGGCAACAGGGCTGCTGAAGGATTCTCCCCTAATCTGGGTGTCAGAGGAGGAAGGAGGGAACCCAGGGAGCCCTGGCTGCTCCCCTTAACCCAGTGACAGTTGGAGCCTGTTTCATCTGGAAGGCATCTTGGGTATGTGCTGCTCTCATGGTGAGAGGAGGGGATCAGGGCCAGTGGTTCCGTCCTATCTTGGCTATTTATCTGCCTGTGACTGTGGGAAGGTCACCTGCCCTCACCTTCTGTTTTCTTTTCTGTAAAATGGGTGCCTTACAGTGTTGTTGCAAAATTCCAGTGAAGCTGAGCATGCTGGCTCATGCCTGGAATCCCAGCACTTTGGGAGGCCAAGGTGGGAGGATCACCTGAGGTCAGGAGTTCAAGACCAGCCTGGCCAACATCATGAAACACCATCTCTACTAAAAATACAAAAATTATCCTGGTGTGGTGGTGTGCACATGAGGTCCCAGCTACTCGGGAGGTTGAGGTGGGAGGATCATTCGAGCCCAGGAGGTCGAGGCTGCAGTGAGCTGTGATTGCACCACTGTACTGCAGCCTGGGCAACAGAGCAAGAACCCGTCTCAAAAACACAAAAACTCCAAAGAAGTCAAAGATGAGAACAGTGCTCTACGACTGACCTACAGTACACATACAAAGGCTGATTATTATTTAAATCCACAGTCACTAGATTTTGGCTCATTTTTACCCTGGCGAATATGTGGTTGAATATGGGTTATTCCACCAGAGTATGCCATGGGGGCTGTTGGCAGGACCAGGGCCTGAGCCCTGGAAGGTGGATGTCATGGGAGAGAAACTGCCGTTCCTGAGGACACTCATGTACAAGAGACTGGTGAGAGGGATGTGGTAAGATTCATAGTCACCCATGTAGTGTTTTCCCACCTGGACTTTGAAATAGCCTGAAATTTGCAGGCAGCAGTCAAATAAGTGAAATTGAAGGCCGTGGGGTTTTTATGGCTCTCTTCCTGCCGAAACAGGAATTAAGAGGGTTATTCAAGCCAGGGTACTCAAGCGCCCACTTCACAGGGATTATTTATATTCCTGCCATGGTGCAACAAATGTTCACTGAGTGCCTATCTTGTGGGTTAGGCTGTGTCCCTAAGAGGATATGCTGAAGTCTTAAGCCCCAGTACCTATGAATGTGACCTTATTTGGAAATCGGATCTTTGCAGATGCAATTAGTTACGAAGAGGTCATACTACAGCAGCAGAGTGGGCCCTAAATCCAATGACAGGTGTCTTTATAAGAAGGCTATGTGAAGACACAAAGACTCAGACACACGTGGAAGGAGGCCATGTGATGACAGAGGCAGAGATCGGAGTGACGCGTCTACAAGGAAGACTTGGCCAAGGAACACAAGGATTGCCCAGCAACCACCAGAGGCGAGGGGAGAGGCACAGACCAGGTTCTCTCCCGCAGCCTCCAAAATAAACCAACCCTCCCAACACCTTGATTTCAGACTTCTGGCCTCCAGAACTGTGACTGAGTAAATTTCCATGGCTGAAGCCACCAAGTATGTGGTAATTCATTATGGCAGTCCTGGAGAACAATACAACCCACCATGAGCCAGACAGGGAGACAAACAGGAACCAATTTCTACCCTCAAGCAGCGTCCCTGAAAGGGCAGCTTCACGGACAAGGGTTGTTGTGAGAGCAAATGAGATCACGGCTGTGGAGGGGTCAGCGGGGGAAAGAGGGGCTTTTATGACTACTGCTGAGGTTAGTGCTGGGAAGAATGAAAGGCCTTGCTCTAGTTGAGTGCGTCCTTTATCCGCCAGGCAGGCTGCTCTCAGAGAGAGAGTGGAGACTTATCTGACAGGCTTATTCTTTTTCAAACCACGCGATAATTAGTCAGAACTCTGTTTCCTTTGTGGTTTCTGTGAATGGATTTGTGGTGATTTTTTTTTTCCCCAGGCATTTTGGCAGTGCCGAGTGGAAATGTAAAAAAGCCCATTAACATCAGCATGTGTCACTGGGGACACCGAGAGGCTGAGACGGAGAAGAGAAAGATCTTTAATTAAAGCTGACAAAGCTGGATGTTACCTGTGTCTCCAGAATGCTGCAGCGCTGGCAGCCTAATTCCTGGGGCCTCTCCTCAGCCTTTGTGGGGCGCGCCTTATTTTGTTGGATAAATTCTTCCAGCCTCAAAACCTAGAACAGAAGATTAGAAACACCATGCAATGAAACCAAGTTCTGCCTCCATGATACAGTCATTCTTCTGGGAATCAATTCTCCTGGGTCAGTCTGTTCTGAGGAAAGTGTCCTATTAGACAAATTCTGCATACACTTCTAGAAATTCCATTTCTTTCTTTCTATTCTTTTTTTTTTTTTTTTTTTTTTTGAGCTGGAGTCTTGCTCTGTCGCCAGGCTGGAGTGCAGTGGCATGATCTCGGCTCACTGCAACCTCTGCCTTCCGGGATCAAGCAATTCTCCTGCATCAGCCTCCCGAGTAGCTGGGACTACAGATGCACACCACCATGCTGGCTAAACTTTTGTATTTTTACTAAAGACTGGGTTTCACCATATTGGCCAGGCTGGTCTCAAACTCCACCCACCTCGGCATCCCAAAGTGCTGGGATTACAGGTGTGAACAACTGCACCATGCCTAGAAATGCCATTCTTAATGAGCTAGTTGCTTAGTCTTTCCAGAAGAAAATGTGCCCAGAAGGTTTCCAGTATTCCACATTTTCCTTTAAATTATTTACATACATTTTTCCATACTAGATCTGTAGGGTGGCTTTCATACCATTCCCAGAAGGCCACTCAATGTCTTTTGAAAATAACAACAAAAAAGTTAATTGGTAAAGAAAATATAAAACATTTAAGAATCATATAGATAAAATGAGAGAAGAGTGGGTGGGTGGTGCTCTAAAAGTGTAAGGCCTTAGTTATGATGACGATGATTAGCCAACTAATTGGAATATGTGAATTAAACAGACTGCTGTCCCCTAGACTTTGAGGAGAATGAAGCCAAAACCCATCAAGAACACTTAGACTTTGCTCAAATTTTTCTAGAAAACTTAATACTAGTTAGGCACCATGCTAGGTACAAGGAGGGTTGGGGAAGGGATGGAGTGAGAGCAAGACGGTAAAATCATAAAACATGGTCCCTGCCTTTAAGGAGCCATCATTTTATGAGGGAGATAGACCTATGTTTATAACCACAATGACATCTGGTAGAGATTCGTACAAAATAATAAGAGTACTTCCTTAATGGTGCATTTGCTCTATGCCACCCAGGAATCTAAGCCTTTTTTCTTTTTAAATGATTTTCTTTTTTAAAAAATTGAGACAGGATCTTGCTATGTTGCCCAGGCTGGTCTCGAACTCCTAGACTGAAGAGATCCTCCCACCTCAGCCTCACCAAGTACTGTGATTACAGGGGTAAACCACTATGCCCAGCCAGGAACCTAAGCCTTTTACAGTATTAACTCTTTTAATCCTCAAAACAGCTATTATGAGGTGGGTACTACTACACAGAATTTACAGCAATAGGGCCAGGCACAGTAGCTCATGCCTGTAATCCCAGCACTTCGCGAAGCCAAGGTGGGCGGATCACCTGAGGTCAGGAGTTTGAGACCAGTCTGGCTAACATGGTGAAACCCCATCTCTACTAAAAATATACACAATTAGCCAGGCATGGTGGCGCATACCTGTAATCCCAGCTACTTGGGAGGCTGAAGCAGAAGAATTGCTATAACCTGGGTGGCAGAGATTGTAGTGAACAAAGATTTTGCCAATGCACTCCAGCCTGGGTGACAGAGGAAGACTCCATCTCAAAAAAAGAAATTTACAGCAATAAACTCTGCCCAGGGGCATTCAAGCAGCTTAAGGGCACTGAAGGATGAATAGGAGTTAGTGAATGTTGAAGGCAGGATAGCGCATTCTGGACAGCAGGAACAGCAGGTGCAATAGAGAGGGCAGGTGGGACAGATGTGAAAACTGAAGAAAGGTTCCATGTTGGAGGGACTGGAGTGAAGGACTGGACAGAGGCAGCAGAGCCTTGGAGGACAGTTAGGTTGGGCAGCAAGTTAGGTTGGGTCCAAATTGTGAAGAACATGGGGATTAAAGATTTTAGAGAGGGAAGACTGGGGCTTTGAGCAGATTTGGATTTTAGATCATGAGTTCTGGAAGTAGCTGGCCTCGGGAGAATGTGGAGGCAGAAAGATCCATGACAATGCTCTTGCAAGACTCCAGCAACATTGCAGGGGAGCAGCAAGGCTATGAGAACGTCCTCCAGGCTTTACATAAGGAATATTAGAGGAAGAGATATTTCAAGATTATGAAACTATGCGTAAACTGCATCTTGCTAAGGTTTACAAAATATTCAGAGGGGCCTGTACAATTGTTTATGTAACATCCACAAGTGGGGAAAGAGTCTAGGCAAGCCATTCCAAGGATCTTGTTCAAGGCATAGGTATGGAGGGAAGAGGGGGAACAGAAAGGCTTACGGCATAGGACCCACAGGACTTGACAAGGATTGAGTGTGATGATGGGAGAAGATGGAGACTAGGGGTGAGGATGGGAGAGCTGGGAGTGATTGTGATCAAGGATGACACTTCCATTTCTAGCTTTGGTAAGAGGGGGACAGACTGTAGCACCATTTAAGGGGGAGGTGTCAAAGATGGAGAGTAAGACCTAGGGCTTTTGTCAATGGTCAGCCTCTTGGTCATGACTTGCTATCTGTAAACATTTAGGTCCTGAGTGACCCTTAGTAATCAAAGAAGCAACATACCATGCTAGAGGCAGCATTAGCTTAGCAGTTAACGGCGAGGTCATCAGAGCCACGTTACCCGGGTTTGAATCTCAGATCTGCTACTTGTTAGCTATGCAACTTTGGGAAAGTAATTTACCATCTCTCTGCCTCAGTTGTCTCATTTGTAAATAGAGATGATAATAGCAACTACATGGTAAAGTGGTTGTGAGTATTAAAATAGTAAATGTAAGCTTCTTAGATAGTGTCTTGACTGGAGCGAGTGCTCCACAAAGCTAGCCATTGTTTTTGCTTTTGTTTTTTAAAAATTTTTTTAAAAAGCTCTAAGGCACATTCACAGAAATAGGTCAGGGCTCAGGCTTCCTTGACTTGTTATTCAAAAGAATAATTGGGCTGGTCTCACACATGTACATGAGGCCACCTTAAGCTCTGCAGCGAGCAGTTGTCCAGGTACAGCATGAAGACTGGCAGTGTATCTTCAACACGGCAAGGGAGGGAGAAGTGAAGGAGGAGGGAGTGAGGGAAAGGAGGAAGGAAGGGAGGATGGCAGGGAAGAAAGGAGGAAGGAGAGAGAAACAGGCTTCTTTGCTATGCAGCCCCACCTTTGTCTGGACTAAAACAGAAGCCTCTATCCTAGAACTTTTCACCAAGACCCACCTTTAGACCCGATATATCAAGTCTAAGAAACAAAATGCTCATGTTTTATTTATTTATTTATTTTTGAGACAGGGTTTTGCTCTTGTTGCCCAGGTTGGAATGCAATGGTGTGATCCTGGCACACCGCAACCTCTGCCTCCTGGGTTCAAGTGATTCTCCTGCCTCAGCCTCCCAAGTAGCAGGGATTATAGGCATGTGCCACCATGCCTGGCTAATTTTGTATTTTTAGTAGAGACGAGAGTTTCTGCATGTTTGTCAGGCTGGTCTTCAACTCCCAACCTCAGGTGATCCACCTGACTTGCCCTCCCAAAGTGCTGGGATTATAGGCATAAGCCATCGCGCCCGGCCTCATCATTTTTTTTTTAAAATAATAATTTTAGACATAGAGGGAGTTAGAGAAAACATAACACCCATGTACTTATCAGTCAGCTAAAGAAATAACACGTCACAAATACAGCTGCAGCCCCTTATACTCTCTCCCTTCTAGAGATAACCACTGGTCCAATTTGATTCTGTCATCCTCATGCTTTGTTTAGACTGACCTCTTGGATATTCCTAAACAATCGATACTGCTTTACACATGGCCTCTGTGTTCTTAAAAATTCCCCAGAGGTTGTGATGTACAGCCAGGGTTCAGAAGCCAGTTTCATGGGTTCCTGAGGCAGATGGGAGACACAGGTCTCATCTGGAAGGTTTGAGGGAGGACAGGGGAAGGAAGGAAACTTGTCGACATTTCTTGGTTAAGCAGGCTCAGAAATGCCCTTGGGATTCCATTTCCAGCCTTTTTCACTAGTTCTTTCATACTTTCAGGGGCCCACAAAAATGTTTTCATTTCTTTTAAAATCAGAAAAAAAGTACAGTCTGGATGATATTCATCTTTTTACCAGTGCAGTCATACAATATAAATTTCTAATTTTTTTTTTGAGGCAGAGTTTTGTGCTTGTTGCCCAGGCTGGAGTGCAATGGAGTGATCTCAGCTCACTGCAACCCCTGCCTCCCAGGTTTAAGCAATTCTCCTGCCTCAGCCTCCCAAGTAGCTGGGATTACAGGTGTACACCACCACGCCCAGCTAATTTTGTATTTTTATTAGAGATGGGCTTTCATCATGTTGGTCAGGCTGTTCTCGAACTCCTGACCTCAGGTGATCTGCCTACCTTGGCCTCCCAAAGTGCTGGGATTATAGGCATGAGCTGCTGTGCCCGGCCTTAATATTTTTTAATAAAGGAAGGGCCTAGAATGCCAAAAGTACTAAGAGCCCGCAAAGAGGTGAATATAGCCATGGGGAAGGAAAGGCAGAGGAACTGCATGTTCCCCACTTGTGCCTTCATGCAGCCACAGAACCAACTCCAGCGGCCTCCTGTGTCCTTCTCTTATTTGAGACATTAAAGACCTGTTTGTTTAAGCCTCCCTAATTTGGCTGTCTGTTACTTGCAGCTAAATGCATGCCCTCTGAGACAGCCTTCCTATCTGGCTGAGCGTCCTTTTCTATCTTCCAAGATTCCTGGCTTTTCAGTTAGGCAGAAGCTCCCAGGAACCAGAAACAGCATCCCAAGTCTTGCTTTTGTTCTGGGCTCACCTCGAGCAGAGAATTCTGGAGCTTCACATTGAGGGCGGCTTTCTCTTCTTCCAGCTGCTTTATCTCCTTTTCTGATTTCTTCCTCACTTCCTCCAACTGTGCTTCTACTTCCTAAATGACGATTGGAAGAGTTAACCACACAAGGCACAAAAACAGAACACAACATTTTCACACCCTGCCTCATTCCCAGAGGAGATTAAAGAAGCTTACGAGAGTCACACAATACTGCAAATAAACATAAATTAGAAATACACGAGAAGGTCAAAAGAAAACATGTGTTAATTTCACACCACACAGACTGATATATATAGGGGTGGGGTGGGGCATACCATTATCCTGAAGTTTTCTAGTGTGAAATAGAAATAAATGCTCATTACTGACAAAATTCTGTGCCACATAAGTCAAAAAGCCAACTACATTTTCAGATGCAGGGAAACAGGAAAAGCAGCACAAAATTTCTTCTTCTTAACAGCATCCATACATGAGTCAAAATGTTTGGATTGGCTGGGTACAGTGGCTCATACCTGTAATTCCAACACTTTGGGAGGCCGAGGCGGGTGGACTGCTTGAGCCCAGGAGTTTGAGACCAGCCAGGGCAACATAGTAAGACAGTGTCTCTATTTAAAAAATAAATAAATAAAATAAAATAAGTGATGGGGTTCCCAGGGCTGATTGCTCCATGGTCCCTCACCACAGCCCATGAACCTCTGTGCAAAGCAGATCCAGGTGAAGCAACATTCTGGGGACCACATGAATGGTGCAGTCATGTTCCAGCTGTGTCATCTGGAGCACATTTCCTAACCTCTCATGACTCACTGTGGTACTTGCATGCTCCGTGCCACTCAAGGTACACAGTAAAGGATCAGTAGATGATCAGCACTACTATTATTCTCATATAGACCTAGGCTTTCCATTTTAGCCTAATTTCTATGGAAACTGTGCAAGTATCTAAAGGAGTGAATGAGATAGTCTGTTCCTCTTAGCTGAACTTTAGGAAGATATTGTGTCACTCATCCATTCAACAAATATTTCTTAAGATCTACTATGTGCTAGGCACTGATCTCAGAGCTGGGGAGATAAAAGGGAGAATTTTTATTTCAGGAGCTTACACCAGGAGCTGACATTTGAGTGAAAGAGACGGGCAGCAATCAAAGTCCAAGAGTAAACAAGACAGCAAACACTAGGTTGGATGGAGAAATAATAAAGCCAGGAGGGGACTTCCCAGTGTTGGGGAGGGGTGGAAATATTAGATAACTAAGTGCTCCAGAAAGCGACTTTGGAGTAAAACCCTGTAATAAGTGAGGGGGTTCACCAAGGAGATGTCTGGGTGTGAGGTTTCCCAGACCTGCAAAGGCCCTGGCATGTTCTGAGGACAGAGAGGAGCCACTGTGGCTGGACTAGATGAGGTTTGGGGAGCACCATCTGAGGCCTCAAACATCAAGGTAAGACTTACCAGTGAGGTGAAGACCACTTAATGGTCGGTCAGAGGAGTGACGTGGTTCCAATTATATTATGATAAGCTTGCTACTGTGTTTTTTTTTGTTGTTTTTTTTTTTTTGTTTGTTTGTTTTGAGACAGGGTCTCACCCTGTCACTGAGACTGGAGTACAATAGCACAATCATGCCTCACTGTAGCCTTGACCACCCAGGCTCAAGCAATCCTCCTACCTCAGCCTCCCAAGTAGCTGGGGCTACAGGTGCATGCCACCATGCCCAGATAATTTTTAAAATTTTTTTGTAGAGATGGAGTCTTACTATGTTGCCCAGGCTGGTCTCGAACTCCTAAACTCCAGCGATTCTCCCACTTCCACCTCTCAAAGTGCTGGGATTACGTGCATGAGCCACCATGCCCAGCTTCACCACTGGTTTCCCTCTTGACTACAGACTGACATGGTGGAGGGGTGGGGTGAGAGCAGTGGCAGACAGGCCTGGGAGGAGGCTGTGCTGATAACTGAAGTTGGCTGGGCCTGTGGCAGCAGGGCAGCCAAGAGGAGGGGTAGAAACTGGGATATATGTGGAATGTTGACTAACAGAACTCACTGAAAGGAGGGGTCAGGTAACTAAACATGTCAAATAATCCTGCTTACCTTTCTTTTGGATGCTCCAGGGGCCCTCTGTAGCACCCAAAAGTTAGGGGTTGGAAAAGACAACCTTGAAACTGAAGTTTCATTTGGGGAAGCCTGTGAAATATGTTAAAGGTTTAAAACACTTGATAGTATGAAACAGAATTCCAGATTACCATAAGTCATTTATTTTAGCCAAAACGATGACTCAAAAACTGGACTTTCTGACCTAAGCAAGGAGAGAATGGTGCCACCACGAACTGAGGTGGGGACAGAAGGAGTGGATTCAGGGACTGTCTGAGGAGCTTGTCTGCACATGTTAAGTTTGATAAGATAGAGGGTCTGGAATTCAGGGGAGGGTTCTGGGTTGGTGTATGCATTTGTGAGCCATCAGCATACAGAGTTTATTGAGGCATGCGTTTGAATGAGAAGAGCTAGAGAGAGAATATGAAGGAAGATATAAGACATTAAAGAACTAAGCCCTTGGACGCTCCAAAATTTCCTGTGAATCAGAGGTTACAATATCCAGCAGGCATTTGTAGAGCAGCTCTCCTAGGCTGTCAGTTGACGGCGGACCTGTCGGTCTAATGGACATAATAATGGTAGCTGACATTTGCTGAGTATAGGCCATTAGCTGGCACTTTGCACAGCCCATCTCTCTGGTCTTTGTGAAAGCCCTATGACTTAGGTACTACCACTAAGGCTTATTGTAAAGATAAAGAAATGAAACTTAAAGAGGTTAAATGCCTTGCCTAGGCTCAAGATTTGAACTCAGGAAAGCCTGACTGCTTGACTGTGCTTCTTCCCTCCCTTCTTAAGGAAAATGTAGCACCTAGTACAGAAAAATACTTGACTGTGTGAATACAGAGATTGTCATGTTTCAAACAAGAGCATCACTAGGCTGAGCAGTGAAAATTTGTAGGAAAACCCATATTTAAGCTGGACTGGAAGCATCAGTAAGAACCGGACAGGATCAGATAGGTAAATTTGGGAGCAGGGAAAAAGCGCTCTTCATCAAGGGAAAGAACATGGAATAAATGATGAACTAAAAGGTTGGAACCATTGAGTGTGTAATCCCAACAGTTTGAGAGTGTTATGCCTGTAATCCCAATACTTTGGGGGACGGAGGCAGGAGAATTGTTTGAGGGCCGGAGTTTGAGGTTAGCCTTGACAACACAGCGAGACACTATCTCTACAAAAAAATTTTTTTAAGATTAGCTGGGCTTGGTGGCATGTGCCTGTAGTCTTTGCTACTCAGGGGGCTGAGGCAGGAGGATCACTTGAGCCCAAGAGTTCGAGGCTGCAGTGAGCCATGATCGCACCACTGTATTCCAGCCTAGGTGTCAAAGCAAGACCCTGTCTCTAAACAAATGAATGAATGAATAAAAATAAAAGGCTGGAGGGCAGAGTTGGATAGGGGAGGGGTTGTGGGATGAGGCAGGAGGGAGCAATCAGGAGTCTGCCTTTGTAGGGTCTTAAAAACCATGTTAAAGAATTTGAACTATTTAATACATTATAAAGATGACAAGGAGTCATTGGAGAGTTTGAAACCAAGGTTGAATTTTTAGAAAGTCCTGCTGCAATGAAGATTAGATTACATGAAGTGGGGAGACTGGAGGCAGGGAAACCATCATACAGTTCATCATGAAATGGTAGTTGACTGGATCAGCATGGTACCACTGAGAACAGAGGGAAGTGGAGGAATTCCACAGTCACTGAAGAAGCAGAATTAATAGATGTGATGGCTGATTGAATGTGAGGGGTGAGAAAGGCATCATATTTGACTCCTGGTTTTCTGAGTTGAACATCTAAAAAGACACTGCTGCTGATCACCTGCATGATACTTGTATACTTCCTGTGGGGCCAGGCCCAGCTTAAGCCAGTGACTCTGGGGAGCCCCTTAGCATTTTTCCTGGGGTCAGGTTATTTAAGAGAGGAAAAAACCCTGGACATTTAGCATGCGTATAGTCTCTGTTCAGTAAATCTATGATCCCCTTTTGTAGGGCTTATTGTTTTGAGAGCTCATTTTCTAAACAAAATATGTAAATTCTTCTTTGGTTTCAAACAAGTTCAGATAACTTAAGCAACCATCAGCAGCAAGGCCATCCCTTCAACAAAAATTCATTTTCTTTACTTCATTAATTAGCTTCTCATCCATAGAAGCTTTTGAACAGAAGTTTTGTTTAGCATGCTTTAATAGAGAAGACACTAATACTGCCAAGATGTGTTCACTGTAACAGCACAGTGACAATCCCCTGTGATAATAATTTTTAGCATAAAGGAATGGCTATTTCTAATTTTACATAGCTTAACTTCCCAGGCTACAAGTAATTAATCATAGCTTCAGCTGTAACCTTGACAAATGAACCTAATGTGAAAAAAATTCCCCCACAGGTGGAAATAATCAATGTCAGCAGGAATTTTTGGCATTAGTTAGCTTCATTTTGGGTGCAAAGTAATGTGGTTTACTGTCAGAAAACAGTTATGGGTGAGAACACAGATTTGAAAGAAGCATGCTCAGCCCAGCTCAGCCCAAAGTGACCTTGAAGATTTCAACGGGCAGCTTAAATAGTCCCTTAACTCAGGTAAAGAGAAAAAAAGATAGCAAAGACAAGAACATTGAGAAAAAAGGAGACTAATGCTCTCAGATATCTAAATCGCTTCATCCCAAAACTGGAAGAGTGTTTCATGGGCCATTAATTTATAGAATTCATAGAGCATTTTCGTAAACTCTATTCTCACTGAACTTTCAGATACCCAGGAAAATAGGTTTTATTGCACCCATTTACACAGAGAAATCCCACAGCTGATAAGAGGTGGATGCAGGATTCACACTCATTTACTGTTCCTTTGTCCAGATTGTCTACAATTACAGGTAATTAAGGAAAAGAGATGTAAAGGTGCCACTGTAAGGGAACAACAACTGAGCAACTACAGAAAATTACCATGTAGAGATTTCAGTTGGAATTTTAAGAGAAAACTTGTTAACTTTTTTCAAAAAGAAAAGTTAATTGTTTGTATATATTTAGAGTAAAGTTCATGATGTTGCTGAAAGAGTCAACCAGTAGGTCTTAAAAAAAATCACTCAGAACCAGTCATTAGCAATAATACCAACATTGATACTAATCAATACATGGCGCATAAGACTCAATGAAGCATCCCAACTCAGTAGTAGAGCTTAACTAGAGCTAGAGAAAATTATACTTTAGACTTATCCTAACAAAGCTTAAAAATAAATCCAGAAAATGGAAAATTTTATATTATACATAATTTATTGCAATAAAAACATCTCACAAAATGAAGCTGGTTCACAAGTAATGTAACTGCCTGTCGAAACGAAATTCAACAAAAAGGACAATAAAGTCCATGTTTAACAACTTAACATTCTCAATGTCCAACATTCAATACAAAATTACTAACTAGGAAAAGCAGCAGGAAAATGTGACTTATAAAGAGCAGAAAAAACCAGTCAATAGAAAAAGATCCAAAAGTGACAGAGACAACAATGTTAAAGGAACAATTGTAAATATGTTCAATAACTTAAAGAAAACCATGAAAATAGTGAAGAGGGAAAAGAAAGCTATAAAGAAGAACAGAATAGAATTTCTAGAGCTAAAATAGGATATCTAAAATGAAAAATGTACTGAATGGGTTTTTAAAAAGATTAGGTGGTACAGAAAGAAAGATGAGTGAACTTAAAGATATAGCAAGAGAAATTATCCAAATTGAAACAGAAAGAGACAAGGAGTCTGAAAATGAAGAGAACCTCAAAGATTTGTGGGACAATATTAGAAGAGGAGAAAGAGCAGGAAAAACAATGGAAGAAATAATGGTCTTAACATTTCCAAATTTCATGAAAACTGTAAACCCATAAATTCAATGAGCCTATAACAAAAACACAAGGAAAATCACACAATGGCGTATCATAGTCAAATTGTTGAAAACCAGTGATAAAGAGAAAATCTTGAAAGCAGTTGATAAGAAGAAACATACTATGCACAAGTAAAAGAAGATAAATGTGGCTGTTAACTTTTTGCTGGAAGAAAATGCAAACCAAAAGATACTGAATGACATCTTTAAAGTGTTGGAAGAAAAAACAACTGTCAACCTAGAATTCTATATCCAGTAAAAATATCCAACAAACATGAAGGCAAATGGAGAAAGAAAATTTGTTGCAAGTAGGAGTTGACACATGCTACAAGAAATGTTACAGGAAGTTCTTTAGGCTAAAGAAAAATGATACTACACAGGTACTTGATGCTACCAAAATGAAGACTGCAGAAATGGCAAACAAATGGGAAAATGACCCTTTTATTCTAATTGAATTTTTTAAATCTAAAAGATGATTGTCCATTTAAGCAAATATAAAAGCAACATACTGTGGGACTTTTAGCATGTATAAAATAAAATGTAGTATATGACAACCATTGCACAAAGAACATAAAGAGTGAAATGAAAATGTATTATCATGAGGTTTGTATGTGTGAAGTAATGTATTTCAAGACAGATCAATAAATTTAAAGATGCATATTCCAAATCCTAGAGTAACCACTAGCCCTCCACTTTGCCAAAAAAGAGCATACCTAATAAGTCAAAAGTGGTGCTAGAAAATGGAATACCCCCCAAATGTATCCAAATTAAATGCAAAAAAAGGGGCAGGGAACAGATGTGACAAGTGGGAAAAACAACAAGATGGTACACTTAATGATAATTACATTAAATGTGAATGGTCTGAATGTCCCCTAAAAGGCAGAGACTGTCAATCCGTATAAAAAAGAACCTAAGTATACCACAAAAGCACTTTTAATAGAAAGACACAGGCAGGTCAAAGTAAAAGGATAGATTAAAATAGACCAAGGTACACTAACTGTAAACATGCTGAAATGAATAGATATATTCGACAAAGCAGACTTCAGGACAAATACTATTTCATAAATAATAAAGGTCAATTCATCAAGAAGACATGAGAATCCTAAATGTAAATGCACTAATGAAAAGGTTTCAACTTACATGAAGCAAAAACTGAGATCCAAAAGGAGAAACAGATAAATCCACAATTTTAATTTGAGATTTCATTCTTCCTCTCTCAATGATCAACAGAACAAGTAGAGAAAATTCAGTAAGGACATAATAGACTTGAACAATATTATTACCCAACTTGACCTAATTAGCTTTTATAGAACATTCCACCCAACAGCAACAGACTCACATTCTTTTCAAGCACACATGAACCATTCATCTAGACAGACCACATTTGGGCCAAAATCAAGCTGAACAAATTTCAAAGGAATGAAATGACAGAATCTATTCTTCAACCACAGGGGAACCAAATTAGAAATCAATAATAAAATGATATCTGGAAATGTCCCAAATAGTTGGAAATTGAACAATATACTTCTAAATAACCAGGAGTATTTGGGGAATTGGTAGAAATAGGAAAAAAAAAAATTGAGATCTTGGTGTTAGTAGCAAAAAAGGAAAAAAAATCTGAGAAAATAATCTCATTCATATTTGTTATTTAAAATTAGAAGACAGAGGCCTGTAGTGGTTTGGGGTGACATATTCAAGATTTGACAGTGAGACTGCTCTCCCCAGGCACAGGGCTTATTACAGACTGACTTGACTCTGGTTGTTTGACTAGATCTTGTCTTCCCTACCAGACTGTGTGTTCCCTGAAAACATGGCTGATTCCTGCAACCCTGCACTGCTCAAAACATAAATATGCATTCCATGGATGGTAAATAAGTAGTATATGGATAATGGCAGAGCAAGGACCTGAATGTTACTATCGAAGGCCCAGGGTAATGTATATTCTTTACACATACAGACTGGTAGAGAGCAAAAATTACTGGCTGTGGAGTCAGACAGGCCTGATTCATATACAACTGTGTTATCTCTTAGTTGTGTTCTGCTCAAGTTACTTAATTTCCCAAGTTCCTTGCCTATGAAATGGAAAAACAACAACAGAGCTGAGGTCAGGAGCTGATTGCTGAGTGGAGAGTTGTCACTGCTTTTGGCTGCCAAAGATCTAGCCTCTCTTCCATTTGGATGTTTGGGAATTCTCCATCTGATGCATCAGAGGCCTCCTCTTATCATAGGACTGGAAAACCAGACTGCCTGCAACATGTGCATGGGCATGTGACTGAAAATCCCCAGTCAGGTGTACCTATTCTGGATTTCAAATCAGAGGCCAGTGATATGGACCAGTGGGAGTCACATAGAATTTGGCAGCTGAAGTTTCCAGGGGCAGCAGGGCCAGCTGTTCTAGAGCTGTACTGACCAATTCAACTTTCTGTGATGATGAATGTTCCACAGTGTGACATAGCTAATGTGCAGAAATCCCTCAGAGCTGTGCTGGCCAATAGGGTAGCCACTACCACATAAGACTAGGGAGCACTTGAAATGCGGCTAGTGCCACCGAGGAACTGAAATTTCAATTGTATTTGATTGTAATTAATTCAAATTTAAGTAACCACACTTATCTAGTGGCTCCCTTATTAGATAGCTCAGATCTCCAGGCAACATTCAGGGCCCAGTGTTGGTGGTTTCGGCTGTGTAAGCTGCAGGTCCAGGTTCAGAGGTGGCAGCACAGGTGTTCTAATCCATTTTGCAATAGATTGGGGACATTATTCCTGGCTGGGTAGCTGCCAAGCCCAGTTCCCTGGTCCTCCATTATGCTTTATTAACTTTCCTGCCTAAACTCCCAGGTGGGTTCGTGATTATTGTCACCAAGAATCCTAAGTGATACAAATAAGAATGTGCAGAAGTGATTAGCACAGCTCAGGAGGTGCTGAATACGTCATCTGCATCCCTTCCCTGGGAGTCAGTGTATGCCAATGCTAATTATAGGATGTGTACTGTGCTGTCCGTCAAGATTCAGTAACGGTGTCATCTAATCCAAGGTCAATGAAGGTATTGAGGCCTCCAGGTCAACTCCGCCCACCTCCTATAGTGTGCCGTTTAGGTTAGGGTAGCACTCAGGGTACACAATATATCCACAGACAAGGGCTCAAAGAAATAGTGCACTCCTAGGCTGCGTGTAATGGCTCACACCTGTAATCCCAGCACTTTGGGAGGCCAACGTGGGTGGATCACGAGATCAGGAGTTTGAGACCAGCCTGGCCGATATGGTGAAACCCTGTCACTACTAAAAATACAAAAATTAGCCGGGCATGGTGGTGCGTGCCTGTAGTCCCAGGTACTCAGGAGGCTGAGGCAGGAGAATTGCTTGAACCCGGGAGGCAGAGGTTGCAGGTTGCAGTGAGCCAAGATTGTGCCACTGCACTCTTGACTGGGTGACAAAGTAAGACTCCGTCTCCGAAAAAAAAAAAAAAAAGTGTACTCCTAACTCCATAGGGGAAAATGGTATCTATTTTTAGTCCATAAACCTAGATTTGAGGCCTTTTTAAGGTTTTGCCTTTCCCAATCTGTGTGGCCTAATTTAAATTCTCAGTTTTGGGAAATGAACAAAATGTAAAACAAAAAACCCCCAAAGTAAGTGCAATTTATTGTGACATGATTCATATCCCAGACAGGCTCCTGCCCCCTATTAAGGCCGAAGTGAGATTTATACATTCAGAGTCAGGTGTGGCTGACAGGTTATCAGGTCAACCTGTAGATCTGCCATCCCTCCTGTCGCTTGTGGCCAGGGATGGAAAGAGTGTCCATCTGTTCGTCTGAGGATTAGATTTGTGCAACCAGTTGCAGCTCATGGGGAGAAAAAATGCTTTCAATCCGGCTGCCTGCCCATTGTGAAGGTGGGGAAGCCACGGGCTCTGGAGTCAGGATATCAGGTTTGAATTACAGCTCTACCACTTAGCTGTGGGACTTAATATACAACACCTTTGAGCTTTGGTTTCCTCAACTCTAAATGGGATCTGAACAGTTTGTAATATTGTTGGAAAGATTAAATGTGTTCTAAAGTATAAGGTACTTTATTACAGAGTATAGTGGGCATGAAATAATATTATCACACATTAGGTTACCCAACGCACATGGAAATTAACAATGAGGGCTGGGCACGATGGCACACACCTATAATCCCAGCACTTTGGGAGGCTAAGGTGGGAGGATCCCTTGAATCAGGAGTTCAAGACCAGCTGGGCAACACAGTGAGATACCCATCTCTACAGAAAAATTTAAAAATTAGCCAGGCATGGTAGCGTGCACCTGTAGTCCAAGTTACTTGGGAGACTGAGGTAGGAGAATTGCTTGAGCCCAGGAGGTTGAGGCTGCAGTGAGCCATGATCACACCAATGTACTCCAGCCTATGCAACAGAGATCCCGTCTCAAAACAAACAAACAAACAAACAAAAGAAATTAATATCTACCATATCATGAACTTTCACTACATGCTTTTCACTAAGATAAGGGTTTACATATACTATAATACCATATTAATTTACATAACAAGCCCCTGAAGTATTTAGCCCTATTTTAGAAACCAGGCTTCAGGCAGGGCACGGTGGCTCACGCCTATAATCCCAGCACTTTGGGAGGTCAAGGCAGGTGGATAACAAGGTCAAGAGAGCAAGACCAACCTGGCCAACAAGGTGAAACCCTGTCTGTATTAAAAATACAAAAATTAGCTAGGTGTGGTGGCGCTTGCCTGTAGTCTCAGCTACTCGGGAGGCTGAGGCAGGAGAATCACTTGGACCCAGAAGGTGGAGGTTGCAGTGAGACGAGATCACACCACTGCACTCCAGCCTGGTGACAGAGCAAGACTCCATTTCAAAAAAAAAAAAAAAACACAGAAATTAGGCTTCAGAGAGGTTACGTGACCTGTCTCCAGTCACACAGCTTGTGTTAGAGTCAGTACTTAGATCCGAGACTAGTCTTGCTCTTTCACGAGTTCATTTAACATGTATTTCTTGAGTATTTACTACTCCTAAGCCCCACACAACAGAGCATGCCCCAGTGATATAGGATTGTCATTCAGTGAACACTCAAAGCTGGTACTACAGAATCTCGGGTTATAAAGAGGCCTCCTTGTAATAATTAAACAAAGCAATCCACCTGCATTCACAATGACATTGCTTCACACTTTATTCTTTTCCGAAATCTTCACATATGTTGTTTACTTATTCCAGCAAACACAAGAGATGAGGTTTTGCATGCCTTGCCAGCTGAAAGCCACCCTGTTTGGAGGGAGAGCAGAACAGCACAAGAGACAGAATTTTCCCTCCTTTGGCATGCTGCTGATTAATTACCGGCATTGACCTGCTGCCCACCTGTCCTAGGCACTAGGATATGCCTTGTGTCTCCACGTGGTTCCCTCATTGAATCCTTGCAGCTAATCTGTGAGGTGCTATTATTGTCCCCCATTTTACAAATTAGGATCCCGAGGCATGTGGAATTTCCCTCTGTGGGGACCCAGGTTATATCGCTCCAAGTGTGGTGGTAGGGTGGGGCGTTAGATCCAGGAAGTCCTCCAGGCCTGAGTTTTTGGTTCATGGTATTCTCTGTATGTTTTTGCAGAGTAAGTAGAGTTGAATTTTCCTACATTCACCACTCATGACACAATTCCACCCCATGTCAATGACTGCAGGCCCTTAGGGCTGTCCCCCGTCTCCTCCAAAAGACCTTGAACTGCCTTTGGACAGGGTCTGTATCTTTCATCTGTGTATATTCAGAGAATAAGCTTACATTTGTACATAGCAGGAGCTCAGTGGATGTTCCAGGAAGAAGGAAGAAAAAAGGAAAAGAAGGAGGTGGGAGAAAGAAAAAGGAACCAGCCCAGTCTCTATGGAAGTAGATCTCACCTTCTGCAGTTTCTTTCTTTCAGCCTCCACGGACGAGCGAACTGATTTGATTTCCATGGTGTGATTCTTTACCAAGTCTTCCAGCCGCTTCACCAGCTGGTCTTTGAGATGCTTCTTCTCCTCTTCTGTCTGATGTTTGATTTTACGGAGGTCTTCTTCATATTGCTGCTTCATATATCCTGTCTCAACACTTGCCTCTTTCTTGGTCTATAAAAAGAAAAAGGACCTTGTAAAACTGCTGGGGAGGGGTGAGGAGCAGCGAATCACCATTTCTCTTTCATGCAATGTTTACAACATTTACATACTGTTTTTACAGCATGTAGCACAAGGTGCAATCAATTTTACAAGACTATATATTTGATGTTAGTAAGAGTCTCTACCACTGGAAAAGGGATTTTTGGAAGGGTGTATGTGTTATCATGAGATGCGATATTTCAGCCCATACTATGGTAGCTTTTAAATAATGCTTTGCTTGTTTTGAATGGGAACATGCAATGAGATCCTAAACCAGTTTCTAGTTTCGCAGAAGCCGCTGATACAGCGCTGGGAGGATTCTGCTGCATTCTCAGTCTCCTGGTTTCTAATGGCATGAAGTAGGCAGTAAGTTGGCTGGAATTTTACTCCTGAAACTGTGGGGTCTGCTGACTCCAAGTGGATCCACTATGTTTGGACTGGCCTCTACCTGATGCTTATGATAGATAGCAAAGCTCCCTCTGCCTTCTCCATCCCCAGGGCTGGGGCAGACACTACCTGTGTGTCTGTGCTTCCTTTCATGCAAGGACACTCCTTGGGATGGCTTTGATCCTGCTGAGGATGAAGATTGCGGGTTTCCAAGTCATTCTCTTCCCCCAGGACTTCATTCTCTGAAACTAGCTCAGTCTTCATGTCATCTGCAAGTAGACATTTCAGCATTATTTGGAATGCTCTTGGCCATGGCCTCTTGTTCAAGGCTTTCTGCTGTCAGGTCCCAGTTCTGCTTTTCAAACACTTTGTCCTGCGTCCCCTGTGTAATTCCTGCCCTGTGGTCTGCTGGCCCTGAAGCATGGTTAAGGTAGCAATTCTCATCTCAAGAAGCCTCATGAACTTAAATAGCTGCCCTGTTCTCCCTTCCTAAATAATCTCCAAATCTTTTTGACTGCAGTTTCCATTGGTTACAAAAATTGAGCATTCTAAATACATGTTCTTTTAATAGGAATTTAAAGGATGAAACAATAACAAATATTTAATATAAGCAGAATTACTAAGTTTTCCTCCCATATTCACTGAAGTTCTCATGTCCTACTTTTGAGACTTCTGTTCTAAACCCACAACACCTTCCCGGTTTCTCCAGAACCAGGACCTCCTTCTCTGCACCTTTCTGGCCCATGGTGACTTCTTTCTCATGCACATTATTTATCTGCTGCCTTTGATACCAAATCACGCTGTGGGCTGTAATGTACAATCCTATGAACTCCCTGAAGGCAGTTCCCATGTTTTATGCCTTTGTTATATTTCCCAGTGTCAAGAGCTTTCTGTTGAGGGGGCCTAGGGGAAGGCACTTAGAATCATGTATTTTTGGATATAAGCAAGATTGTATCACCAACCAATTGGCTGACTTGAGCCAGGCACTTATCCTTTCTTGGTCGCATTTCTTCATCTGTAACATGAAAGATTGGCAATACTTTTTGGGCTGGGTGTGGTGGCTAACGCCTGTAATCCCAGCACTTTGGGAGGCCAAGGTGGGAGGATCACTTGAGCCCAAAATTTCGAGACAATACTTTGTGTTACTATTATTATTATTATTTTTGAGATGGAGTTTCATTGTTGTTGCCCAGGCCAGAGTGCAATGGCGCAGTCTCAGCTCACTGCAACCTCTGCCTCCAGGACTCAAGCGAGTCTCCTACCTCAGCCTCCCAAGTAGCTGGGATTACAGGCACATGCCACCATGCTCTGGCTAAATTTTTTGTATTTTTAGGCAGGTGTAGTGGCTCATGCTTGTAATCCCAGCACTTTGGGAGGCCAAGGCAGGTGGATCTCGAGGTCAGAAGATCGAGATATTGGCCATCCTGGCCAACATGGTAAAACTCTGTCTCTACTAAATACACACACACAAAAAAATGTTAACTAATTTTATTTTTTTGTATTTTTTTGTATTTTTGTATTTTTAGGGTTTCACCATGTTTGCCAGGCTGGTCTCAAACTCCTGACCTCAGGTGATTCACCTGCCTTGGCCTCCCAAAGTGCTGGGATTACAGGCACGAGCCACCATGCCTAGCCTGTACTTAATTTTTTACTTTTTATTTTTTCATAGAGATGGGGTCTCATGTTGCCCAGGCTGGTCTCAAAGTCCTGGGCCGAAGTGGCCCTCCCTCCTAAGCCTCCTAAAGTGCTGGGATTACAGGCATGAGCCACCATCAGTCTGCCCAACCAGATTGACAATACTTATCACCCAACATTATTGAAAAGGCCCAATAGCATAATTGTGTTAAATGACGTGAAAAGCATAAAGCATTGTGTTAAGTGGTAGGGGGTGGGATGAGTCAGGGCTAAGAATTTCGGGCACTGTGGTGAGTCTGGTGGAAACAATTCTGGGGCAAGTAGTCCTTTTAGATGTCCAGCCTGGGCTAGCTCCAGGCAAGGCAGCTGTAGGTGTCAGCTCACCTGTACCCAGCAGGGATTGGTCTCATGCACCAGGCAGCTCAGATCAGGAAGCCCTGGCCCTCCTCTCTGCTCCCTTAGCAGGCTCAAGGCTGCCAGTAGCACCACGCCCACCTGGCAGCTAACCTTGGTCTTTTAAGGAAATCATCCCAGGGCATCTTACCTGTCTTCTGCGTCCCATGGCACTCCCGCAGCATCATTCTGTCTTTGGCAGCAGCCAGCTTCTCCCCAAGTTTTTTTGCAGTGTTTTTCAACTCTGAATTCTCCTGTCGAGCCTCCTTGAGCTGCACATCCAGGTCCTAAACAGAAAGGAAGGGTCCCATTGCTCTGGTTACAGTTCTGTATAGAGATATCCTGTGTACACAGAACAGCCATCAGACCTGAAAGGTGGGTATGTGCACAGCAGAAGCCCTGAGTCTGTGCAATCCAGTGGCTCAGGGCTCATCAAATCCTTCCTCATCCTCTGGCCTTTCTGTAGTGAGGCGTAAATGAGATACAGTGTCTGGTGAAAAACAAACAAAAAAACAGTGCTCAGGGAGTATTAGAAATGTTAACTGCTGGCCAGGTACGGTGGCTCATGCCTGTAATCCCAGCACTTTGGGAGGCTGAGGCAGGTGGATCTTGAGGTCAGAAGATCGAGACCATCCTGGCCAACATGGTAAAACTCTGTCTCTACTAAATACACACACACACACACACACACACAAAATGTTAACTGCTGCTACTTTTAGAGATGGGGCTCAGTGCTTTTATGGGGCTTACATAGCTGAATCATCAACGATCCTGCTCTTTATAAACACAAAGTCCTGGGTATTTTAGGAGGGGTAGGTTGCTATGAAATTAACGGGGCTTTAGAATCAGGCTGACCTGAGTTCAAACACTTATTAGCCATGTGCCAAGGCAGACCAGTCCTTAAGCCTCTCAATTTCAGTCTTAGCTTCTCATCTGTAGACTGTAAGTCTCCAAGTTTTCCAAAGCTAGGGACCAAGTATAACTCACCATGTGTCCCTGCCCTGGGCGTGGCAGATAGTCAGTGTTCAATAAATATCTGTGGGCTGGGTGCAGTGGCTCAAGTCTGTAATCCCAGCACTTTGGGAGGCTGAGGCGGGCAGATCACCTGACGTCAGGAGTTCAAGACTATCCTGGCCAACATGGTGAGACCCTGCCTCTACTGAAAATACAAAAATTAGCTAGGTGTGGTGGTGAGTGCCTGTATTCCCAGCTATTAGGGAGGCTGAGGCAGGAGGACTGCTTGAACCTGTGAGGTAGAGGTTGCAGTGAACTGAGATCATGCCACTGCACTCCTGCCTGGGTGACGGAGTGAGGCTCCATCTCAAAAATAAAAAAGCAAGCAAGCAAATAAATAAATAAATAAATAAATAAAAATAAATATTTGTGGAATGAATGTAGTTGAATTCAATGGAGGCAATAGGGCTCACCTCCATAGAAGGCAAGTGCTTGGCACAGTGCCCGACCTATAGCAGGTTCACAATATGCACCCCTACTGATTATCCCTGTGAGGTTGTATGAAGAGATGCTGCTTTACCTGAATCCTCTCCTTCAGCTTCTGGGCGTACTTCTTCAGGTCACTGATCTTGCGGCCTCTGTGCTCCAGGTCTCCTTCCAGCTTCCGGACCTGAGCCTGCAGGGCGGACTCCTGGACCTGGAAGTTCTTGCGGAGGTCCGACTCCTTCTCCTGCCACTGCCACAGGGCCTGGCTCACCGACTGCTGCATGGCCTGCCGGATGGCCTCGTTTTCCCGCTCGTAGGTGGCCTGCAGCTCCTCGGCCTTGCGCGCGTAGTCCTTGCTCAGCTGCTGGTTCTCCACTCGCAGCCGCTGCACCTCTAGCAGGACCTCCTGCATCTCCGGGCCCTGGCCTGGCTCTGACTTGGTGTCAGGGCTTTCCTGGGGCAGCCGGCCCCTCGGGGGAGCCTCGTGGCTCGTCAGGTGCTGGAGCCTCCTCTCGTAGTCAGCCTTGAGCTCCAGCATTTCCCTGGAGAGCGTGAGGACCCGCTCGGCGTGCTCTGCCTCCACTCTCAGCTCTCTCTCCTTGGTCTCCAGCCTGCACGAGGCCGACTCAGCCAGAGCCTCCTGTGTCAGCCTCTTCTGCAGCTCCAGGGCGCTCTCCAGGGCCTGGATGCGTTGGAGAAGGGCCTCCTCCTCCACGCAGCCCTGTTCCTGCAGGACCCTGGCCTTGGTCTCTGCCATGGCATTCTGGAGCTCCTCCTGGTGTGCCTCCCGTAGCGCCTCCATGCTGGCCTCCGCCTCATCCTGGCGGGTGTTCAGGGCATAAATCACCTGCAGGAAAATCATCAGAGCCCAGTTAGGGCGAGGAGGCTGTGGGTGTGGGAGCGCTGAGGGGACCAGAGATGCTTCTCCTGCATAGTGGTTGATCTGCACAAGTGGCGCCTGAGAAGAGGATTTGCATGGAGGGGACTTACTAGAAACTGTTTCCGGGAGAAGCCAGTGAGAGAGCAGGGAAGTGCGATAGGGAAGGATTTGGACTGGGAACAGAGCAAAGGGGTGACATTGCACAAAGGCCCCAGAGAGGGCAGCTTGGGCCAAATTCCGAAGGGGACCTCTGGAGTACGGGCGGGAATCCACGGAAGAGCTTTAAAGCAGAGAAGTGATGTCATCGCATTTGTTCAGAAGGAACACTTTGGAATGCAAACCCCTGAACAAAACACTTAGAAAACTGGACAGAGGCCGGGCGCAGTGGCTCATGCCTGTAATCCCAGCACTTTGCAAGGCCGTGGCAGGCGGATCACCTGCGGTCAGAAGTTTGAGACCAGGCTAGCCAACATGGTGAAACCCAATCCCTATTAAAAATACAAAAATTAGCTGAGCATGGTGGCATGCACCTCTAATCCCAGCTACTAGGGAAGCTGAGGCAGGAGAATCACTTGAACCTGGGAGGCAGAGGTTGCAGTGAACCGAGATCACACCACTGTAGTTTGACCTGGGCAAAAACGAGTGAAACTCCATCTCAAAAAAACAAAAACAAAAAACTGGACAGAGCAATATATAAAAAGGCCAGTATAATGTGAAAATCAGCTAATGTAATACCCCACATCAACAGAGTAAAGGACAAAAACCACAGGACTGTCTCAATAGACACAGAAAAAAATAGTTGACAAAATTAAACATCTTTGCATGATAAAAACACTCAACAAACAAGGCACAGAATGGACTCTTTTCAGCCTCATAAGGCACATCTAGGAAAAGTCTCCGGTTAACAACATCCTCAAGGGTAAAAGACTAAATGCTTTTCTTGTAGGATCAGGAAATAGACAAGGAGTTCTCTTCTTCCACATTTAACGCAAAAGAAAACAAAAAGAATGCTTTCTTTGCTATGTGAAGAACTGAATGAAGGAAGACAGGAGAACAGTGAGAAGCCCAGGAATCGAGAATGACTCCTGGGATGTTTGCCTGAGCCACAGGTTGGTGTTTCCTGAAATGGGAAAAACTGTAGGTAGAACAGGTATAGAGAAGAAAATCGAGAAGTCTAATTTGGACATACTAAGTTTGATGTACCTCTGCACATCCTAGTGGAGACGGCACCAAGGCACACAGAGATAAATATCTGGCACTCAGAAGAGCCAGCCGGAGCTACAGATGAGGGAGGTGGAGTCTGGAGAGTTTTATTTCTGTTTGCTTGATGAGAGATTCCAGAACATATCCATAGGATGATAGAAATGACCCCATGGAGAATCTAGAAGTTGAAGCCAGGCACATGGCTCATGCCTGTAATCCCAGCTCTTCGCGAGGTTGAGGCGGGAGGATTACTTGAGCCTAGGATTTTGAGACCAGCCTCGGCAGGATAGGGAGATCCTGCCACTACCAAAAAAAAAAAAAAAAAAAAAAAAAAAAAAACTGGGCATGGTGGTACATGCCTGGGGTTCCAGCTACTTGGGAGGCTAAGGTGGGAGGATCACTTGGGCTGGGGGAATCGAAGCTACAGTGAGCTGTGATCCTGCCACTGCACTCCAGCCTGGGTGATAGAGTGAGACCCTGTTTCAAAACCAAACAGGTTGAAGCCCCAGGAATAACGATAATGAAGGGAAAAATCCCTGAGAAGGGTGCCACGGAGATTGGTTTTAAGAGCACATCCTCACAGGGGTAGGATGGAAGGAAGAGGTGGAAACAGGTGTGTGGCACTTTGGACAGGTGAACGAGGGAGCACTTGTCTTGTAGACATGAGAAGGTGGCTTCTACATTCTCAGTGGAATGAGCCAAGGTCACTAAGAGTGAGCTGAATTGGAAGACAGGAAGAAAGCATAGAGGTGTGAAGAGTGAGGGGTTGTGAACTCATTTTTAGGAAGGGAGAAGCCAGTGGTCTACGTTACAGTGTGGCATTGGAGGTCGTGTTGAGTTACAGTTCTCTCTGCTTTGCTGTGAGATTTTCCTCAGTCAGGTTCATCTGAATGAGTTCAAAGAAGGACAGAAAGGATGGATGGGTTATTGGAGTTGGAGTTTTATTTGGTGAGTGTGACAGAAAGAAGAGACAAGGTATTTTCAAGGGCCAGCAAGCAGGAAAGATGGAGCGGAGGCAGTTTTTTGGTGATGACAAGGTAAAGTGTCAAAGGGAGTGTGTGACTGAGGCCAAGTAGAGGAAAAGATTGCTGGAGATGAGGAGGTCAAAGACTGAGAAATCCAGGGCAGGGTGAGCCCCGCATGAGATGTCCTCACTGAGAACAATGCAAGAGATGCTGGGCTGGTACAGACGCTGTGAAGTCAGATGCCAAACATGACATTGGCGCCCTGGGGCATTTACGATCAGCAAAGTTTTCCTGAAGACTCCCCACCACACCCTTTCACAAGGATTTACTTTTAGGCTTTGGGGGTTGCTGGTTTTTCCTTATCCATGAGGCTGTCTACTGAACTAGACTATAACTTCATTGCCAAGTTCCTATTACTGCTTCACCTGTGGTTTTCAAACTGCGCTCCTTGTAGTCTTGAGTTCTTTGATGGAGGTCAGGGCAACATCAGGGAGCTAGGGGGAGGCTGAGCAGGTGGGGACCCCCCATCAACCAGGGAAGAGCTTTCACACTTGGGCTTCCCTAGCATAGAGTTTAGAAAAAAAAAAAAAAAAAGCTTTCTGTGGCTTTAAAAAAAAGTAAAAAAATTAGAGGCTCAGATAGTTAAGAAATAGAAAATAGATCAATCAGGAATAGTGTATGAGAGGAAGTGTTTGGTATTACTGTGTGCCTGTGTGTCTATGCATGTGTGTGTTAATTACAAAATCATCATTGAAGGCCAGGTAGCACCACTAGAGGTGACATGTGTAATAGATTTAACAATGGTTTACCTGGAGACTACAGCTCTTGAAGAAAGAGTGAACTTATATCCAGGACACAGCCTAAGATCTTATTTTTCATTGTCTCTGTCTGATATGGCAATCATTAAAAAATCTGGAGACAACAGATGTTGGAGAGGATGTGGAGAAATAGGAACATTTTACACTGTTGGTGGGAGTATAAATTAGTTCAGCCATTGTGGAAGACAGTGTGGCAATTCCTTAAGGATCTAGAAATAGAAATTCCATTTTACCCAGCAAACCCATTACTGTGTATATACCCATAGGATTATAAATCATTCTATTATAAAGACACATGCACACGTCATGTTCATTGTGGCACTGTTTATAATAGCAAAGACCTGGAACCAACCCAAATGCCCATCAATGAGAGTCTGAACAAAGAAAATCTGGTACATATACACCAGAGAATACCATGCAGCCATAAAAAAGGATGAGTTCACGGATGAATCTGGAAACCATAATTCTCAGCAAACTGCCACAAGAACAGAAAACCAAACACTGCAATTTCTCACTCATAGGCGGGTATTGAAGAATGAGAACACAAGGGCACAGGGAGGGGAATGTCATATACTGGGGTCTGTTGGGGGCTGGGGGGCTAGAGGAGGGACAGCGGGAGGTGGGGAAGTTGGGGAAGGATAATATTGGGAGACATGCCTGATGTAGCTGATTGGGGGATGGAGACAGCAAACCACCATGGCATGTGTGTATCTATGCAACAATCCTGCAAGATCTGCACATGTGCCCCAGAACTTAAAGTACAATTAAAAAAAAAAAAAAAGAATATACCTAGAAGCTGAAATTGGTTTCCCATTGGCTATAATTTAGGTTAATTACAAACATCATTTTTTTTTTTTTTAGATCGAGTTTCGCTCTTGTTACCCAGGCTGGAGTGCAATGGCGCGATCTCGGCTCACTGCAACCTCCGCCTCCTGGGTTCAGGCAATTCTCCTGCCTCAGCCTCCTGAGTAGCTGGGATTACAGGCACGCGCCACCATGCCCAGCTAATTTTTTGTATTTTTAGTAGAGACGGGGTTTCACCGTGTTGACCAGGATGGTCTTGATCTCTTGACCTCATGATCCACTCGCCTCAGCCTCCCAAAGTGCTGGGATTACAGGCGTGAGCCACCACGCCCGGCCTACAAATATCATTTTTATCAAATTTACTATGTGCCTATCACAGGGACAGATGCTATATATACATTCATAATCTCAGAGAATCCTCATGGCAACCCTGCAATTTGGTATTTTTCTGAGCAACTGAGGTTCAGAGAAGTTCAGTAACTTTTGTGAAGTCCCAGTCATGAGAAGATTTGAGTAATGCCAAAGCACACGTTCCATGCATGGTGCCACATTGCATCTCACCTTCTCACTCAGTCATTTATTCATTCGCGGATTCACTGCAATCTCAGATGTGGCAGGCTCTGTGCTGGGCACTGGGGTTACATGCTGGTCAATAAGACAACTGAATTTGCAACCTTAAAAATATTATCATTCAGTTGGAGAGTCAGACAAGAAAATGGAAAGCTTCAATGAACTGCAATGAGTGCTACAAGAGGATTTATCACCAGTTACTGTGGAAACACAGAGGAAGAGGTCTGGGAGGAAAGAAGACTTTCCAGAAAAAGTGGGCCTTGCCTCCTCATCCTTGGGGTCACCAATCCCCTTTTCCATGTCAAGCTGCACATGGACAAGAACAATATCACTTTTTTGGGCTGCTTAATAGCACTTGGCATAAAGTTGCATACACAATCGGTTCATAGTAAGTATTTGCTATGGAGCTGCTATAGGTCCTCAGGGATTCATGCTTTCCTTCCGCAGTGAAGAGCTGCTACAGAGCAGCCACTGAGCAGAGGCTCCATTTCCTAGCCCCTTGACTTTAGGTGAGGTCCTATGACTGGTGACTGCCAATGGAATTTGGGTAGATGGGGTGATGTGTGTCATCCTGAGGGCAATGTGGGAACGTTAAGAAGGGCTCATG